CACCTTTTCATCGAAATCGAAGGAGATTATCTCGGAAAAAGCGCAAACATGAATGTTCCACTAAAGTCAATCGACAGCTGGTCAAAAGGAATCCGCCGTCGTCTTCTGGAGGAATCAGCCTTCAAATCTCTTCACCAAACACTTTCAATCGAAAGTAAATTAAGCTCATCAATTACGAAACAAGAGATTCCTCAAAAGCCAACTTTTCTTAGCATATAATTCTTTCAGTCAGAATATCAATGGTTTCTTGTATCTTGCATTTCCTTGTATTTCCACCCTATACAGCTAGCCTTTCTGTCGATTTCCACTCGATTTTATGTCTCATCCATGCGATGGGTTCCGCTATTTTGGATCTTTCAATACCCATGTTTCTGCAGAGTCTTTGGTGTTCCTTGCTTCGTAGGCTTATTTTTTTCCAGTTTCAGCAATATACTTCTGCTCAGATGTACTGTATTTTATGCTATAGACTCCCGAGAAATTCAGTTTGTCAACCTTCTCGTGTTGCGTCAGCAGGCATGTGAATACTATTGTCTTTTTCTTTGTTGTCACATTGATACTCCATTTTATTAACAACGGTCGCAATTCCTGGCTCATTCACAGAAAGACAGGAATACCCACTTTTGGTCGTCCTCCCGATTTCTGACCTTATTTACATAAAATCATAGTTGTGATCTGCTCTTTATGACCCCTATATTTCTTCCTATAAATTCTCTAGGGTACCTCTTACTAAGGCAAATCCAAGTCAGTTTCCCCAACTCCTCATTACACAACTCATTGTTCGTTAGTCTTAAGCTTCTGGGGGTCATACTCCTCATTATTCCAATATTTAGTCTGTAGTTATGATGAGACTAGGAATTGAGGACTAGTCCTGCATGTGATTTCTTTCTGAATAGTATTCCTTTGGATGGAATGAGCTCAACATTCAAATGGGGTAGTCGTTAATCCTCCTCCACCTCCATTGTGAATTTAATTCTTTATTCAAGATGGTATATGAAATTGAGGAACTCATCCAAATTTTTCTTACCACCCTACCAAAATGCAAAGTAGTCGTCTAGTGATCGCATAAGCACTCTTAGTTGAAGCGGTGACTTCTAGAATTTCTTCTCAAATCTGTCCATGTATGTATATTTGCCAAAAGAAGTGAGAGTGAAGATCCAATCGGTAGTCCATATATTTGCTCACAGATATTGCCGTTAAATGTAAAATATATGGTACTTACTGTCAGGTTGATTAGTCATGCTAACGAATCCTTCTGTATCCGCTCTGCTTCCAGGCTATCCTCCTCTTGTTCCAACACTTCCAGTAGGGCATGTCTGTCCCTGTCAGTCCAATGTTTTGGATCTTTGAGAAAATTCATATGAATTCTTCATCGTGTTCAAGAGGCCCCAAGAGGCCTTAAGCATATAAATTTCGCTAGTTTGTGTGTTGCTACATGCTTTTTGTCGAGAATCAACATAAGTGGTCTTCCTTCCTTGTGTATCTTCGGTAGTCCGTAGGCTGTAGGTGGTCTTGCGTCATTTTATATTAATGAATTCTCAATTTATCCGTTGTTATGCGTTTCCTTCAGTATTCTGTTGAGCTTGATTGATGGATCCTTTCTTACTATTTGATAAGTGTTCCGGTCGCCTAGGTTAGTTTCCCTTTTCTCCATGTACTGTTGCCTGTTCATTATCACCGTCGCACCTCCATTAGAGCTAGTTAGTCATTCATTTGTAATTTTATACTTATCTTCCTCAATCCACTCCCTTTGATTGGCAATTGATCGAATATACTTCTCTGGATTAATTACATTTCCATCTCCCGTTTGCTCTCTTCTGGGTATTTCTCCGAGATGTTAATAACTTCAACAAGGATATCTTTTAAAATCTTCCCTTCGTTACCGAGTGAAAAATTTAACCCTTCTTCAGGATATCTACTGTTTCGGAATAAAGATTGACTAAGAATAAGTTCACTACCTTCTCCTAAACGTCTTTGAGAGGAGTGGATGCCGCTATTACCAAAACATCTTGATTTTGTCGGGTTGCCTAAATCATGCGCTGTATTATTATTCCATATCTAAGCCGTTTCTTGTCATGCCGCTGATTTATCAAATCCCATATACACTGTGACCTCTGTTGAGTCATAATCTGGAGTTTTTGAAGTGCTACTTTGCACATTGGCTGCATGATAAGAAAGGTTTAGATGAATTCCTCAATTTTATAAACCGATTTGATGCAAGAATAAAATTTACAATGGAGGTGTAAGAGAATAAAAGAGTCCCCCTCCTGAATGTTGAGGCCATTCGATTCAAAGGAATACTAAAGAGGAGACTATGCAGAAACAAATCACATGCGGGACTAATACTAAATTTTCAATCTCAACACAACTACAGAGTGATGATCAGAATAATGCAGATTATGATCATCAGAAGCTTAAGACTAACGGACACTGAGTTCTGAAGTGAAGAGTTGAAGAAATTGAATCGGATTCGCATTAGTAAGGGGTACTCAAGAGAATTTATAGAAATAAATATCGGGATCATAAAGAACAAATTTCAACTAGGATCTTATTTAATTAAGATCAAGAATCGAGAGGACGGCGAAAAGTAGATATTTTTGTCCTCCTGTGAGCACAACCAGAAATTGCGACAGTTGCTGATAAAATGGAATATCAAGGTGATAACAAAATAAAAAGGCAACACACTTATCAAGCTTGTCGACGCAATACGAGAGGGTTGACACACTTTATTACTCGAGAGTCTATAATATCAACTGTGAATAAAATAATATTGGTGAAACAGGAAAATAAATCAGCCTATGAACTAAGGAATAGTAAATACTCTGCAGAAGTATGGATACTGAAAGATGCGAAATAGCGGGACACATCACAAAAACGGGACACGAAGTCGAGTGGAAATCTACAGAGGCTGGCTACCTAGGGTGGAAATACAAGTAAACGCAGGATAAGAGAAACCATTTACATCCTGACTGAAAGTAATCTAATGAACAGAAGACTTGAAAAGGCATAATTAGCAAAATCTTTGCATACTGCCTAAGCAAACTCGGAGAAGATCAGGCAGCAACAAAATTAGCAAAAATCAGACGACTGGACAAAAGTAATATTTTTAATTTTACGAAAAGAAATTACAAAGATACCAGAAAGGAACAATCGGAAATCAAGAGAATAGGTCTACAGTGTGCCTTTTCAAATCAAGTAGAACTATCACATTTGGGGGTCGGTACGGAAGATAAATTCATGGACTTGGCATTAGGGATAGAAGAGCGAGATAAACGATGTCAATCATTTCTAGTTCGCTATTAGTAGAGAATTTGGCTAATATATGTGGTAATGAAGTAAAGGCTTGACCACCACTAGTATGACCCATTTACCCAAGACCAACTGAGATATTTTCTCCATGGACTGCATTTCTCGGCTTCAAAAGTTTTAGTCGAGCTGGCCTTAATAATCTAGCAATGTTATCAACTTTCAATAATGATCATGAATATAATAGTACCTATGTAGTTATACGTCGAAACCCGAGTGTTACAGAGACTTGCTTGACTTGATTACATTTAATGAATGCGTCTTCTTTTTATTTTGAATTATCTTCAAAAGCCTACCCCTTGTGCTATATTTTCTTATTTTTCAAAATAAAGCCGCTATAAGGTTGCCTCCTGTAAGATGAGTTTGCTTATTTTTTGTTTAACCGAGTTTATTTAAGCAGTAATCAAAGTTTTAGCTAACTTTTTCTTCCAAAATCTTCCACCCATGTTGTGTTTCAGCTGCCTTTTAAACTAGCAAAAGTTGACAAGGTAGTTATTATGAGAAGAAAATAAGACAAGAACGTGACTAAAGAACATAGAATCCCTTCAGAAATATATAGCTGAAGATACCAGAAATAGTAGAGCATATTGGATAGAAGGCACAAAAATTCAACTATAAGGAACCAAAAGATAGGCACCATACTCTGGAAACTATAATTTAAGAAGGCCGCTAATGTCGGATTTGAGGGAATTCTGATGAACAGAAGATTGTAAGGAAGGAAAATTAATGCAAAATTTGCTATTTGTTAAAGGAAACTTACAGAAAATTAGGAATCATCTAAATCAACGAAAAGAAGAGAACTTAATAGACAATCAATTTTTTACAAGAAAATGGGTCTTAGATAAGCTCTTGAAAAACAATCGGAAGTCAAAAGAAGATTTTTGCAGCACTTTTACTCGAACAAAATAAACTGCCACAACATTTTGGGGGTTAACGCGAAGTAAATATGGATTTGGATAGTCGTAAACATCATATAAAAATTTGAAGAACAACTTAAGTCACCCAGATATCTAATGTGATTTTAGTTAAATATCCCACGATATTTTACGTAGGCCTCACAAACTCATCACATTTTATTTTAGCTTTGGTTGCAAAAAGGTTTAATCTTTCAATGTGAACTACACTTTGTTCTCACCTATGAGATTTCAGCCTACCAAAGATACTTGAGGCCGAGAAATAAACCATGTTACCACTCTTCTATGCTGCCCCGGTTTTTATTTAGTTATGGGACAAATTTTGAATTTTAAGCAGGCACGCTCTATCTTAGGCAACTAAACTAGAAACTACATGCCATTAAATTCGACAAAGTTAATTAATTCTCTGCAAGAACATTTCGAAACTTTGGCCGCTCTAGGCTGATTAAGGTGATTCAAGGACTGGTAGTGATATTTCGCACAAATAGAATAGACAGCCTCAAAACATACTCATGTATAAATCCTCAGATAATTGCCATTATCAATTGAATAGCGAGGCCACTTTCATCAGAAATTAATTTAACAGATCCAGGGGAAAGCAGAGACATAATTGCCAGTTATTAGTTGTAAATATAAAATCCATAGTAATGCATATATTCAGTAAATAAACCTAGGCTAATATATTTATATCTGATTTCTTTGGTTAGTCTTCGTTGGCGGCCTCCCCGCGCTCTATAAATATTTTCTCTGGCCATGATTGATATTGCCCCTGCTGGGCGAAAAATGGAAAATAGTAGGGTATATATCCCACCTCCTTTACGTTCAAAATGCACTACCTCAGGGCTCAAGAACAAAGATTCTTTGAATTCCATAAAAGGATGCTCCGAACAAAGGAATTCTTTGCCATCTCATGACATAATCTTATCGGACAAAAGCCTTTCATTTAATGAATCGAATTCCTCTAAAAGGCTTGACTACAAAGACGACCCTAACGATACACTTGCTCACCTCGCCGACGGATTTATTCACTTAAAACTAGATGATTTTCCTCATGGACTGAATGACAATATAGAATCCCAGGACTCCTTCGATCCTACAAATTCCCTTTATGATTCGTGTGAATCGAATACTAGCAAAGTCGACAAAACTAATTTTTATGACTTTCAGCATATATTGGAATTGTATGGCTTTCCGAAAGAATGGGGAACTTCTGATGTTGAGTCTGTGATATGTAGTTTTGAAACGAAGGGCTTTGTGCTAAAATGGGTTGATGACAGTCATTGTTTGGCCGTTTTTTCCTCTATTTCGGAGGCCAAGCGGGCATTGGATGTGCTGCCCTCTTTTTTCGTGAACGTGAGCAACATACCTCATCTATTCATTCTTAGTATCATGCATAAATAGTTTTTTTAATTTATTTCATGGATTTTTGACTTGCTTGCATGTATGTAATGAAATTTTTTATTTTGCTAGGCTCGTAAAATGGAAAACGCTAGTGATTTGAGTAAAATTAAACTCGCAAAATCACCTGGTGACTGGAGTATGCCATACAAGCGGCGGCCAGCAACTGACAGTCGTACGGCCCGTCGTATAATTTCTCATCATTTGGGTCTAACTTCTATCCATATTCCACCCACTGCTGCTGCGAAAGAACGTGAAATAAAAGCGGCTATGCGGCTAGATATAGAAAGACGAGCGGCAGAGGAGGCTAAGCGTAAGTTACTGAACCATCCTTATCATAACTCCGCCAACATATTCATGCAAAATTTAGTCCATATGTAACTATCATCTTTATATTTACATTTTACTAAAAATGTTGGATATTAGCACTCACATCATGTATCTCGAAATTTGGATTCGTAATCTATCGGGTTTTATCACCCTTCAAGTTTAGTTGGATTTTTACACAAAGCTGCATCGATGTGAGATCAAAATTTGTTCTTTATCTCTGATATTGCAATTACTCCATTATTTTTTTAAGAATAGAATGAAAAATGAATGAAGTAGCCATGGAATATTGTAATCGAATATTTTATCTGAGTGAATATAACATTTATACATTGATCATCTTGATCGATTCTCGAAAGAGCTCACCTTTATTCTACGCATCGGAATAATTTTATTCTCTTTTGCCTCATTAGACCCTATTGATATTCTCCATTGTTGGTGCACTTTTTTAACGATGAATTAAAATTTTATTCAATCTTTAAATAGCTATTTTTATACTATGCATTGTTTTTCTTATGTTTGTAGGCCTTACATTTTTTGGTATGAAGACCAAGATGGTGTGGCCTTTTGTGTGGTCGCAATTTTTTGGCCTGAACTAGTAGCTCTTTTTTCCTGTTTTTACAAAGTAGTCTGTATAAGGATTTTATTTCATTGTTTTACTTCCCGCTTTAGGTTGTTATTAGCCTGATTAGCAACTAGCATTTGAAGGGATGGACTACATCCTCATCCGTATAGGAAGAACTTTTTGCGAAAATCTACCTATAAATTTATTTAAACAACTTTGCACCATCCTTCATCATCCCGTTTTCCACTGCAATATGATAGTGCATTTTTCTAGCCACCTCGAAACCCCTTATTTTTTTGTAGATATGAAGACAAAGATGGTGTGGCCTTTGTTAGGTCGCAACCTCCTTTAGCTTTGTAGTGTTGATTCGACCTTGTTTTTGCAACTTGGTCGGACCGTCAGGAAGACCTTGTGGAAAATACCTAGTCTTGTGTCCTCTGTCATAGTATTCGTGATTTCCAGCTGGGAAAGTTCTAAAACGTTCCGCTGGCATCGTCAGTAAGAAGCGCCATCGTAAGCGCAGAATTAAAACTTTTCAAAGTGACAGGTGAATGCAATCCCCTTGACTGATTTTATTTTCAACCGTTGTGGCATCAGTCCTTGCCTCTTTTTAATTCTACCTTTAGTGTCGAATCTTCTTCTCTCAATCCCACTTGTATTGTGCTCTCGTTTCCTCCAATGCCCCCAGTGGGTTTATGGAAGCGTAATCATTTCCACCACTGGTACAAGGTGCAATTTTTAGGGCTCCTGATCTACACTCTCCTCCCCCTATTTTTCTTACCCGCTTGTCAATTGGCTGCCGCTAAGCGTCAACATCACTGTTTGGGTGTCTTAAATCTGGCTGCCTAAGAGCCTTCCATTCCCGTCCTCGATTACGCCATATTCGAGGATTTAGATCAGATGATGCCAATTCACATGCCAGTGCCTGGAACTCCTCTATAGGCTTCAAGCTCATGACTCAATTATTCTCTCCCTCACCCCCACCCTCATTCTTCGAGGCCCTGTGTCCGGATTAAGTCATAACCGCTGATGTGAGAATGTTCAACTTCCATTTTTTCCTTTGAATCGCGAAAAGCATACTATTGTCTCTTAAGCTGGCATTCCCATTTAATCCTAGGGTACTGCGATGATGCTCCTGCTTGTGTTGGTTGGTATCCTCCGTGATCAAGCCTGTCATCAGTCACCTTACCTTCAGACAGAAAGGAAAAATACACATAACACCTACGCACACACACTGATAATCTCTATCTAGTCCTATACTTTTAGCCTTTAATTCCATATCCTACATATCACAGGACAAGCCCTGTGTAAATTCTCTGCAAATTCCACGTTTGGATCCTCTCATTTCAGTCGCCTTTTCTTGATTTCTCTTTGTTTTGCAAAAGCCGCTCCTTGGGGATGTCTCTTCATTTTGATTAACAGAGTCCAAGAGTCTTCTTTTGGTGTATTCATTTAATCTCTAAGTCTGCTCAGGCATTGTGCGAAATAAAAGTGGGTTGACCTCGTTATCACAACTTGGTCTTGTTGTCAGGGCGACTATTTAGAACGCACCTAGTCCGAAGTCCTCTGACCTCGTTGTCGCAACTTGGTCTTGTTGTCAGGACGACTTAGTAGAACGCATCTAGTCCGAAGTCGTCTAGAGTCGTTGTCGCAACTTGGTCTTGTTGTCAGGGCGACTAGTGGGTTGACCTCGTTGTAGCAACTTGGTCTTGTTTTCAGGGAGACCATGTAGAACGCACCTAGTCCGACGTCGTCTGCTAGAAGTGGGTTGACCTCGTTGTCGCAACTTGGTCTTGTGTTAAGGGAGACTATGTAGAACGCACCGAGTCCGAAGTCGTCTGCCGTAGTAGTTGTCATGATTCCCAGCATCTGACAGTGGACTTGATACATTCTCAAACGTTTCGCCGGCATCATCAGTGAATTTTGCCAAGCTAC